CAGGAACGCACTGACCCCTCCTAAAAAATTAAGGTCAGGTTGGAGCCCGGGAGGGGAAGCGCCCGGCCGGGGGCGCAGGGTCTGGAGGTCTGGGGGCTGCCCGGCAAACCGTGAAGCCGGTAGCGCTCGGGCAGCTCGGCTCTTCAGCTACACAGAGCTGAGGTGTCTGGGGGGAGCAGCCGCCGCCGCGGGGGAATCCACTTGCAGCTCGCAGCCTGCCGGAGCCACTCTAAGGTAAGCAGGGGACTGGGGCAGGGATGCCAGCAAAACAAAGCTGGGAGTATTTTCCTGGACATGTTCGGCTTTTTGGCAATTCCCCCCGGACGGGGATTTGAGGATCAAAAAGCCGGACATTTCCGGGAAAATCCGGACGTATGGTAACCCTACTAATGCAGCAGGAGGCGGTGTTTGCAATGGAACTGTAGGCCTGACAACTACCTGAGGCCGGGGGCTGGACTGACTAGAGCAGGTGAGGGAGATTGCACAGAAGCTAAGAAACTCTCAAACTCGCCACTCAAAGGCGGGGCTATAAACTGTCATTCTGGGCGTGATCTTGGGCCCAATTCAGCCTGACTCCCATTTAGGGTGACCAGATGAGGGGAATAAAATATCAGGACACATGGGGTTGGGGGGCAAAAAAAACCCCGAGTCCTGCCGGCTGAGCAAAAAAAAAGCCGAGTCCTGCCTCTAGGATGGGTTGAAAATTCCAAAGGCTGGTGACAAAAGAATAACAATAGAGGGGATTTGGCTCTTAAGTACCCAATTGTTGGGTACTAGTTCACTTTTGACAAAAAACTGGTCCCTGTCCAGAAGAACTGGTTTAGCAGGGACCAAGTCACCCTGGTAACAAAGTCACCTGAGAGGGGTTTGTGTTCATATGGGGAACCTGGCAAGGGTGTCACCTGACATGGGAGGGTAGGGGGCTGAAGATTTTAAAAGGGTAGAGGCTGATCTGCTAACTTGGGGGTCCATAGTCTCCAGTCCAGGAGGGCGAGGTTGCAGCCTGATATGGGCAGGGCCCTCCTGCCCTATTCCTGATCCCAGAGGGCCCGGAGGCCAATGCAAGAGACTCAGACACCAGCCCAAAGAGTGGTGAGGAAACTGAGGCAGGGCCATGCGTTTAGTGTTTATAGTTTTGTATGATCTGTACTCTTCTGTGCTTTAAATATAAAAGAGCATAAAGATGTTAGACTGGGCAAACCGTGTGTGTGCTGACTGCTTCACAACCACTGCTTGCCCCTGAGAGAGTTCAGCTGTAAGTCAGAAGCGTTGCACCGTTGGGGTGGAGTTCTGGACGAGGGGTGTGTTTAAGTACTGGGGAGTCTGAAAGGTCAGTGCTGCACCCAGAGGGGCTAGGTGGCTGGAGAACAAGTTCCAACACCCTGAGAGTGCACGCCAGGGACCCCAAGAATGAGGCAGCAGCTGGAAGCCATTCAAGCTCCAGGAGTTCGAAACACCCCATGGAGCCAGAGCGCAACGGTTTGGATTCCCCTCACAGCACACCTAGTGGGTGGAAGGAAGCGGTGCTTGCTAGGATCTATGTAGTAGTGTGTGAAGCTTTTTAAAACACTGTTGCAAGGGTTTATGCTTTTGCTCTTAAAGTGTAATGTAGGAGCAGGTCTGGTAGTTTATCTTGGGTATAAATTAGATAGCAAGCATGAATTATGAGCAGCTCATGAAAGAGCAGCTTCGGAGCCTGTGTATCTCCAGCACAGGAACTGTTAATTAAGCTGAACTGGGTATGGTTTTGTGATAAGGATAACCATTCACTGAGCATTAGCTAAAGCAATTGACCCCCTTTCTCATTTGATCTTCTTTGGTCTGAACATCTTAGGACTGGGTAGCATGACATAATAAGCGGCATTTCTCTAGGGAACATCTAGGAACGATTTTCACTCCCCAGCTGACTGGTTCCCATTTAAGCCATCTGACTGGCGTTCTCCAGAATACCAGGTCTCCCCTTAGCTGCTTCCAGAAACTGGTCTCCTGCCCCACGAGAAATTTTGAGACTTTGAAATTTTTTCTCCTCCTGAAGCAGGCCCCAAAATTGAAACCTCAACATTTTCCAAGAACTGATAGTCTGAAAAAAAAAAATTCCCCTTGGGCCACTCGAAGCATTTTGTCTCAGTTTTGACCTTTCAACATTTTTAACTTTTATGTTTTACAAAAACAACAAGGAGTCTGGTGGCACCTTAAAGACTAACAGATTTATTTGGGCATAAGCTTTCGTGGGTAAAAACCTCACGGCATAAGCTTTCGTGGGTAAAAACCTCACTTCTTCAGATGCATCTGAAGAAGTGAGGTTTTTACCCACGAAAGCTTAGGCCCAAATAAATCTGTTAGTCTTTAAGGTGCCACCAGACTCCTTGTTGTTTTTGTAGATACAGACTAACACGGCTACCCCCTGATACTTTTATGTTTTAGTATCAATAAACTAAAATTTCAAACCGAAAAGTCGTTTCCAACAAGAAAACAAAATGTTTCGTTTCGACAATGTCGAACCAGGGCATTTTAACCAGTTCAAAACTCTTTTTTCTCTCCAAGAACGTTTCAAATTTTGTAGTTTTGGCAAACCTGCCCCTTTCCTGGGAGCTGGTTCGGGGTCGATGAATCAGCATTTTCCGACGTAAAAATGGTTTGTTGGAAAATTCCCCACCAGCTCTCCTCACGCACTCACTCAACTCCTTCCCTGTACTTTCTCCTTCCCCAATTCCTTGCTCGTCCTGCCCACACCCCCTCTTTCCTCTCTTCCGCCTCACAAACTGCTGTACACAGCACGCAGCGCAGACGGCTGCCAGTTTACTCCCCCTGCCTTTCTCTGCACAACTGTCACTTCTGAAAGCCTGCCCGGATGCGTTGCTGCAATTCCTTTCCAGCGAGGGCCAGGCTTTCTTGCTGTGACAGCAAGTGGGTGGGTGGAGGGGGAGGGCAGTAGTTTACAATAGTCCAGAAAAACAGCAGGCCACAGGAAAATGGTTGGGGCTGCAGTGATACCAAAGAGGTGGCTTCCTCAGTCTTCTGAGACGGGACCCAGAGCCTAGCATGAAGGAACACAGCATGAGAGAAAAGGTGTGTTGATGCAGCATCACATGGTGTATCGTCATATACCGTAGCAAGGGGCACTATTACAGGAAAGTGTGCCATGCAAGGACAAAAGGACAAATTCAGCGCCCACATATGTGGGCACTCCTCCGATTAACTTCCCTGGGACTTGCACCCGCTGGGGCTGGAATTGGGTATCTCGGAGGGAGGGAATGTGGTCTAATGGTTAGAACAGGGGAGTGCTTCTCGAGAAGTATCATCAGTGAGCACACCAGGCATTAGGATGACCAGATGTCCCGATTTTATAGGGATAGTCCCGATTTTGGGGTCTTTTTCTTATATAGGCTCCTATTACCCCCCACCCCCATCCTGATTTTTCACATTTGTTGTCTGGTCACCCTACCAGGCATTATTTCCCGCTCTGCCACTGACTTGGTCACTTCGCCTCTTACTGCCTCAGTTTGCCTGTGTGTAAACTGAGCAGAAGGGCCATCAAAGGGAAGCGGGAGGCATTGTTAACTAATGTCTCTGAAGTGCTTTGAGATCCTTAGGGAAAAGGCTCCGTGGGAGCAGTCTCATCACACAGTTAGGATTCTGCTCAAGCACCATTTTAGTTTGTTTTCTGTATTAATCTCTGGAGTCAAATTTGTGTAGCAGCCTGTTATTTTTATTTGATGCTGTTTAAACGACGACTCGGAAGGGCGAAACGGGCACCGCTCTGTCACTAGCTAGGAGCGCTACAAGCATTCATACGTTTGCCCTCTGCTGCTGAATATTGTTATAACAATGCACCTGGGCTTCACTCCCACTGAAGACAATGGGTCTATTGCCAGTGACTCCAGTGGGACAGCAGGATCGGGCCCTTATGGTAAGTGACAGGCTTGTTTATCTCCACTGTTACCTCCCAGTGGTTATATAGATGTACAGTTTGCAGTGCCGAGCCAGAGCAAGGTCACAAGCTCCCACTGATCTTCTGGATCCAAGATCATTGCTTGTTAAAAAAAAAAAAGGATGAAATTGTGACACGTAAGCTGCACGGTTTAGAGCGCATGCTCCAAATAGATATGCAAGCAGGTCTGTGAGGATGATTTTGGCTGCTGTGCCAACATATGTCCCATAGAAAAGTCAAGCAGAAAAAGTGACCCTGTGGTTTAAAGGTTGCAGATAAGTAGCTAAACAAGCACAATCACTGCATTTACAAAGGTCACCGTCTCAGCGCACTTTGGCACACACTCTGACACAGATTTGTTTTGTACGGTGACTGGTTTTTTTTAGAAGAGACAATTACTTATTTTCATCGCTAGGGCCATATCCGGATCCCTGCTCCACATACTCTGTCCTAGAGAATTCATAGAACTAGGCTCCGTCCCAGCCAGAGTCATTTTTGTTTCAAGCACAGCTAGGAACCTAATTGTCCTGCTTGCTAAGGATGAAGCTGTAGTGCATTCAGCTCTATGGGACTGTTGATGGGCTAGGAGGGTGGGGAAGCTCTTCTGGGAGTCAGGAAACCTGGGTCAGAGCATTCCCTGCTTTGCCACAGCCTGGCCTGTCTGATCTTGGGCAAGATGTTTACGACTGGGTTTTCAAAGGGCCTTGAGCACCCGCAGTTAGTGGGAGCTGGAGGCATTCAGCACCTTTGAAAAATCAGCTTCAACAATGCCCTCTGCAAAACAGGGATGATGATAATAAAACTCATCGCCTCCAGCCCAGCCGTGTTGTGAGGCTACGTGAATGGGCCAGATCACCCCTCCCAGGGAAAAACCCTAGGCAGGAGCTGGGGGAAAGGAAGCCGGAGGAGTTTGCCTGTAAATTTGGAGGCTCCTCCTACTCCCAACCTTATGGATCACAGGAATCTGTGAGAGGGGAACCCTTTTCCACCTAGGGCCACATCCAGGCCTCTCCTCCATCATGGACCATCCATGCAGCCTGACTCCTCCGTCCTGCCCTGGAATCTTTCCCCAGAGTTCCTGCTCTGGAGGATCCCTAGAGGAGGGGCTGCTCACGTCTTTCCCACACTCCGGCTAGTGGCTAGGTGTTTTCTGGTGGGTATACAGCAACCGTGCTCCCGCCCATGGGTCAGCCAAGGCACCCAGCACCAGTGTGGCTGTGCTTCTGGTGCTGCAGATCCCAGGGTCAGTCCCCACTGCCACTCTTTGATAGGGGCCATTACAGGCCTTGGGGCCACATGAGGTATGGACCACAATCCAAGCCTACAAATCAAAAGCCCTGAAAATGAGTTAACTTGTCTAGCAGATTCAGCCCAGCCTCGCTCACCACGGACAGCGCTTGGCTGACACCCACCTGCCCATCTAAGCCTGGGCCAGCACTGTGTTTTTTTTTTGCCTCAAGAAATCAGCCCAGAGAAGTTAGAGAAGAGCCACCCAGACAGAGAGATGATCTCACAGGCTGCCTGGAGAAAGGAAACCTTGGGACATGCCCTCACAGCAAAGTTGGAGAATGGTCCTGCCGGAAGCCACCCATCCGGCATCACAGAGAACAGTGAAGCCAGCCGTGCAATGGGCCAGGGGCGGTCTCCATCTGGCCTGACACGTCTCAGAGGGTGGGCTCTGCCTGAGAGGAGGGTGAACATGGGTCCGCAGTGAAGATGGGGCATCCCGCAGACAGTCACTGGGGACAGGGTGGCAGGGACCGAGGGAGCTGAGAAGCCTGGAGAGCTGGAGAGACCCACCGGAGAGCAAAGCAGATGCCCCCAGGAAGCAAGACACACAGTGTATGTGTGGGGGGGGGGAGCCTAGCTACCCAGGCAGGGAATGGGGGCCGGGTGGGTGGCCGCCAGGAGCGGTGGGATTGGGGTGAGCTGGGGCAGGGGAGAAGCAGCAGCCTGGCACCGGGGGTGGGAAGGAACCCGGCTTGGGAGGGGGACCCGGGGTAGGAGGCTGTCCCCGGGGGGTGTCCGGGGCGAGCTAGGAGGGGACCCGGGCGGGACGCACCTGTTCCAGCGGACCATCTTCCGGCGGTAGTAGCGCACCGCCTCCTGCCGGCTGAGCAGCGACTCCTCCGGCCCCCGCGGCGGCTGCTCCGGGGCGCGGTAGAGCGGGTGGGCGAAGAGCCGCCGCAGCTTGGAGCCGCCAGCGCTGCGCGCCCGGGCGCTCGGGGAGGCGGCCGCCGGCCAAGGGGGCAGCGCGGGGCGCGGCGCCCAGCGGCAGGGGCAGCCCGGCTCGGCCCCCGCCAGCTGCCGCCGCACTTCGGGCCAGAGGTGGAAGTAGAGATCGGCGCTGAGCAGCGCCCCGAGCAGCAGCAGGAGGAGCAGCCGGTGCCGCCGGATCCAGGGCATGGCCGGCGGAGCCCAGCGAGGGCGCCCGGGAAGGGGGCTAGTGGCAGCGCAGAGGCGGATCGGAGGCGGGGAGCGGGGCAGCCCGCAGCAGGGCGGATGGAGGGGTCCGGGCTGGCGGCTCGGCAGCAGCAGGTGAGCGCCCGGCGAGTGGCTCTGGTTCACAGCCGGACCCGCCGGAGCGCTGGAGCCCAGCCCGCTGCCGGAGCCGCTGGGAGAGCTGCCGCGCAGCCCGCACCTTGCCAAAGCCCCCCCCGGGCAGCGGTGCCCAGAGCGCGTGTGGCTCCGCTCCAGGGGGAGGTATTAGGCGCTAACCACCCCCTCCACCCAGCCCTGATCACCTGCCAGCTCGCACTGCAGCAGGACCGACGCGCCCATCCCGAGCGCCCACTAAAGCCCAAACCCCTCCGTGGGATGCTGCGGAACTGCCCTGGAGCGAGGTGCGCGCGTCAGAGGGGATGAGCTCGCCAGGCGTCCGGGAGCACAGGGATGGGCCCCTCTCGTGTTCCTACAGGAGTAGGAGCTGGCCTCCAGGCACCGCCTTTCACCCCGGAGGTGCCACGGGATCCACTCAAGGATGGAACGAACTACACTAGTCCCTGCATTTCCACTCTCAGGACCTGGTGTCCTTTGCCCATCCTTTCTGGCAGGGTTCACACACCCTGCAGTCTACAGGGATCATTTCATCTTCCACTAGAAGGCAGCCACCGCTGAGGCGGGAGGTGGTAGCTGCTTAAGGGACTTTAAAGACTTAAGCACCAGCTTGAAGTTAAACAAATAATTGTTTTTTTTTCAGGATGGGGGCCTACGAGCGCACCGCAGGACTGCACAAGTATTGAGGCCAGGCACTGAGGAGGAAGGCTGGGAGGGATTCGTCTCTCACTTAAGACCTGTCTACATTAGGGAAATTTACCCATGCAGACTGCTGCACGGGTATAAAAAGGGGCTTGGACGGGTTGTAATTCCACTAGCTTCAGCCTAGTTACTCCTGATTTTGGCCCTGACTCAGAAAAGCACATAACCCTTTATTTCAGGGGATTTGTTTCAATGGGGCGGTAACAGGTGCTTATAGGTAATCACAGGTGTAAGTGCCCTTCCTGGCTAGGGATTGTTTTTTGGGTCCGGCCCTGACCTTGGAGTAGGTGAGGTCGGGGAATCAGAGTCACCCCATTCAGCTGAAGCTGCAGGTGGCATTTAGGTAAGCAGAATGCAAGGGCCACACTTACAGTCAGGCTTGGGAACTAGCTGCTGCTCAGAATGTAGGTTTGGGGTTACTTTAAAGGATTTTGCTATAAATCTAAATTCAAACCGGTCAATAAACAAAACAATTTGTTGTTTGGATTTAACGTTACCTCTGCAGCCTGCAGAAGCCAAATGGTGCAGCAAGTGACAAGGGCAGAGGCTGTGCCCCTCTCCATAATGCTAAATGAGGAGAGGTCCCTGCTGGAACCTGGCTAGTGAGCCCACTATGGTTGAGAAGCACCTTACTTAACCCTGAGTCCACAGAAGTGAAATAGACGAGGGACTGAATATAAACAAAAGGGTGAGTGACAAGGCTGAGCTAGTTTCATTGTTCCAGCTGAATGAACAAAAAATTAACAGCAGAAAGGGGGAAAGGAAAATTATATTTTTTAGCAGACAAACTGACAAGTTTGATTTTTCACAAAGCTAAGGGATTTTTGTTTTGTGTGTGCATTGGCCTGATCCACAGGTGGGAGACACTGCTGTCAATGGAGCTACCACTTGAGAATCTGCATCATGATTTTTAACCCCTACTCTACCATATACAGGGGAAAAGATACATTGCAGAGAGGCTTCAGGAATTCTCATCTCAGATTTTCCATGCCTGTGTTTTAGGGTGTGTTGTACCTGAAAGCTCTGATTCTGTACCCTAGCCCTATATGCTGTCAAAACCCAGATGGGGAGGAGGAATGGGGAATCTACCAATGTAGGGGTCATAGTGCAACCTTACACTGCCTTCATGTGCTGCCCCAGCATTCTGGGGATAGAAGTTGGAATGCTAGATGTTCTGGCTGTGCTGTACTGGAAAAGTGGCCCATAGGCAGCCATTCAAGGCTGGTGTAATTTAGAGTAACCCCTTGACTGCTCTAAGTTGTGCCGGGGCTAGGAATTCAGAGGGCACAAAGGTGTCTATCTCTTCGCTTCATCTGTACTGCGCTGTGTTACTCAGGTGGTGTATCACCGAACTAGGGCTGGTAATTCAAAATTGGGAGGCCAGGTTCTGATCTCAGTGACACTGGTGTAACTCCACTGACTTTGACAGAGTTACTGAGGATCTACACCAGTGTTATAGCTGTCAGAATCCACCCCACACACTGTACATGGAATGAAAATGCAGCCCCATGCCGCCCATCCCAATAAAAACACCCTTTATTTGTATGCAGGTAGTGGAGGAAATTCTGGTCCTTTCTATTTTTTCCTTCTACGCTTCTGGGAAGATTTATACGCAAGACGTGTGCCCTGATTTATCCTGACACCTATTTCCTAACTACTCCATCAAACGTGAACCATTCATACAGTTACCAGAGGCCCATCTGTCCCCCAGCATGCTGTGGGGAGACGCACAACCCTCGGTCTCCTACACAGCATAGAGCGCTTTCTGCTTTGGAAACAGGCATAAGTGAAATGAACATTCCACACACAAAGCTTCCATTTCTCCTCTATTCTCTTGTTCTTTGGAAGACCCGGGCCATTTTACACTCTTTCCAAAGAAGAGATCCTTTGCTCTGCTCGCTCTTTTATTCACGATCTAAAGAGTTTCGAGTTATTTGAAGAGGATTTGCTTTAAAGTTCTGTGATTATCAAATATTTTTTCTAGAATTCAGCATTTTCTTCAGGAAAAGCTGTATATAGATTTTGAAGAATACTGACAAGCAAGGGCACCAACTAGGAGTGAAATTAGTTCTCATGAACTAATTAGTTCTTGTGAAAACACGGGATTGCTAGTGCTAGTCACAGTGCAGGTAAAGGCTATACCAGTGTTTCTCAAACTGGGGTCGCCGCTTGTGTAGGGAAAGCCCCTGGTGGGCCGGGCCGGTTTGTTTAACTGCCCCGTCCGCAGGTCCGGCCGATCGCGGCTCCCACTGGCCGCGGTTCGCTGCTCCGGGCCAATGGGAGCTGCTGAAGTGGCGCGGGCCGAGGGACTTACTGGCTGCCGCTTCCAGCAGCTCCCATTGGCCTGCAGCGGCAAACCGCGGCCAGTGGGAGCTGCGATCGGCTGGACCTGTGGACGGGGCAGGTAAACAAACTGGCCCGGCCCGCCAGGGGCTTTCCCTACACAAGCGGCGACCCCAGTTTGAGAAACACTGGGCTATACAATCTAATGGCACTGAGAAAACAACTTGTGTGTGATCTACCACAATCCTGGTCCTCTTACACTGAGACCAAGTATCAGAGAGGTAGCCAAGTTAGTCTGTATCTGTTAGTCTCCATGCATCTGAGGAAGTGGGTTTTTTATCCACGAAAGCTTATGCCCAAATAAATCTGTTAGTCTTTAAGGTGCCACTGGACTCCTCGTGACTACAGTGAGACCATCAGCTGGCCCTGAGCATGCAGCAGCCTTGGGCCCTCTTGGGAGTAAGATGAAACCATTAAACTTGGTTTCACTTATGATCTAAACCAGATTTGACCCCAGGTAACCACAGGCACAATAGTTGGGTTTTCATCTCTGTTTTAAAGATTGTCAGTCACTGCTTCTACCCAGGCCCCTGTGTCTTGCCATGCTAAATTAACACTTGCAGAGTGATTGACTGAGAGGGGGCCCTGCTTTCGAAGGTGTTGGTTTAGGGTCTGCTTCAAAGCTTGCTAACGTCAAGGGAAAGACTCATTGACTTCAGTGAGCTTTGGATCAGGCCTTTAGTGTATCCAAGGAAAGAGAACCTGGCAGTGGTGTAGAAGACCTTGATTTATATTTTCTAGATCATAAGGACAGTCTATGATGGGGCCAGGGGTACGTTATGGAGGCTTCTCTAGCCTAGACAAATTAAAAGGGAATCACATAGGCAGAGAACAGATTGATGGTAACTCTAGAACAGCAGCTGAAGTAGCCTGTAGTGTACAAATCTGTCCAAATATCATTGGCTACTCAGAGTGCTCTGGTCATGCCGAGTCTGTTGACATCAGTAGAAGATGAGGGGATCACCACCTCCCAAGATCAGCCCCTCTGCCAGTTTCTTATTTCCCTAAATTGATTACATACTAAGCCAGCTGTAAGTTTCTGCGATTCCCAAGAGGTATTGTCAAAGAAGGGATTAATCAATCCATTCCAGGACAAGCTGGATTCCAGAAAACCTGAATGAGTCTCAACAGCAAAACATGGCTCGGGGATTTACGGTATTTAAAAGGCACTTACTGACTTACTCTGATCTAAGGAGCAACTTGTCACTAAATGCCATCCAAACACCAGAGTTAACAATGGATTCATTTTTAATTCTCGGTGCTATTGCCCCATTACTAATCTCTCCATGGGCCCAGTGTTAAATCTTTTCTCTTTCACGCACTAATTCTAAACAATTACATCAGCAGAACATTAGCTGGGGCCGCGTCTTTAGCTTTTTTATCCTCAACGTGGAGATCATATTTTTGTAATTAGTCTAATTAAAAATGAACCACAATAAAAATCTCAGTCCCTATTAAGTTGGAGTAAACCCACACACTGCAGTCTCTCTCAGCGCTTCCTTTGCCATTTAGATATTGCCAATCACTAAAACACTGGAATGCAAAATTACTGTTCATGCTATTGTTCAGAACATTTCAACAATGCACGCATAATACTAGCTTTACCTGGATTTTTGCAAACAAAGCCTTTTGTTCAGCATTGTTTGCCTGGTAAGCTGTAAAGACCAATATGTTTAGCATACATCTGCATATGCATTGCCTTAGCAGATGAATGCAAATAAAAAAACAGCAGGCATTACCTAGCTATAGGTTTTTTACAGCACCCATCACCACAGTATCTAAGCAATTCCTGGGGAAATTAAATCCATGAAACAAAGTCCCCACTGAATTTCATGGAGTCGCTACTCTTTTCCCTTCCCTGTTCAGGGCCGGTGCAAGGATGTTTCGCGCCCTAGG